CATTTTCTTTAATCAAAATTTCATCTAATTTATTTATCACTTCAGAGCACTAGTAGCTGGATTTATTACAAATTATATATTTTTTCTATTTCTTAAGTTATATGTTTTTACTTTCTTATTTATATATTATTTTCTACAGCATTATGTTTATTTCTTGCTGTTTTTGTAATTAAAAAAATGTTTTTAAGTTTATTTATTTTGAACGAGAGAGAGACAGAGCAATGCACAAGTGGGGGAGGGACAGAGAGAGAGGGAAAGAGAGAATCCGAAGCAGGCTCCACACTGACAGCACAGAGCCAGGCATGGAGCTCAATCTCATGAACTTTGAAATCATGACCTGGATCGAAATTAAGAGTGGGATGCTTAATTGACTGAGATACCCAGAGCCCCTGTAGTTTTTAAATAATACAGTTAGTATATTTTGTTTTTGTGAACTTTATTGAGATATACTTTATATACAGTAAAATACACACATTTAAATGTTAAGCATACAAATATGACCATCACCAAAATAGATATGCAAAGGTATCATTCCCCACCTCCCTCCCACAAATTCCCTCCTGCCTCTTTGAAATCAGATTCAAGCCTTGGCAATAATTGGTTTGCAGTCTCTCACAATAGACTAGTTTCCTTTTTTTTTTTTTTTTTAATTGACAGTATATACTTTTGTGTCAAAAAACTTCACAGGTCCTTATTTGACACATATTTTCTTTCCTTTTTTATGTTTATTTATTTATTTTTAGTGGTGGGTGAGAGGCAGAGAGAGAGAGGGAGAGAGAGAAACCCAAGCAGGCTCCACGCTCAGTGGGGAGCCTGATACAGGATTTGATCCCACACCTCTGGGATCCCCTGGGATCATGAGTTGAGCTGAAAATAGGAGTCTGATGCTTAACTGACTGTGCCACCCGGGTGCCCCTTGACACAAATTTTCATTTCTTTTGGCTCCTACTGGTAATTGTGTGTTTAACCCCCGTAAGAACATGAACATTCTTTTCAAAGCAACTACACCATCGGACATACCAAATATCAGGTTTGGAAGTTCTATTGTGTCTGCTTCCAAATGATAGTCATATATATTAGTATATATTTGGTAGCATATATTTGGTACCAAACTTGGTACTCTCATCCTAATCCAAAATACAGACATCTCTTCTTACTTCCTTTTAAGGATGATGTTTCTGCTCCAACTTGACTCATTTCCATTTAGCAGAGGGATCTGTTCCAAAAAATCAAATTGGATCATGTTCCACTCTACTTAAAACCATTTGGTGAATCACATGGATATAGTTAAACTAAAACCTAAAATACCATGGCCCCTGTCATCTGCCTCCTGTCACCTTCATACCCTCAGGTTTTGGCCCTGTTTTGTTCACTGAGCTTTACTTACAGTCTTCTTTCAGTTTTTTTCTGAGAGCTCTTTCCTGATCTAGAAGTAAATTCATCTAGGAAACTCTCAGAACATCTAGTTCCTGGACTAGAAAGTAATCATTGGTTATCTTTAATTATTTGTATGATTATGGCTTAATGTTTTTCTGCCTCAAAATTCCATTAGAAACTTGAGAGCTCCAATGTCTATAAATTTTTGCCAAAGTGTAGAGGTTTAATATATACATATTGGATAATGCATAAATGTCACTTACTGGATTGCTTTGTAAAGATTTATGTACCAAAGAATTATGTAATGAATTATGTAATAAAAACAGATGAATTTGTATTCTAATCTAATCTAAAAGTAATTATATGGTACTAGGTGATGTTTTTAACTTATAAAAGTTGATGAGATATCTGAGTTTTGTCATATATCTCTCATATTATTTTTAGTTATGTTTCCTTGATAATTTTTCTTTTTATTAATTTTTTTTGAGAGAGAGAGAGAGACAGAGCATGAGTGGGAGAGGAGCATAGAGAGAAAGAGGGAGACACAGAATCCGAAGCAGGCTCCAGCCTCTGAGCTGTCAGCATAGAGCCCGATGCAGGGCTTGAGTTCAGGAACCACGAGATCATGACCTGAGCTGAAGTCAGATGCTTAACCAACTGAACCACCCAGGTACCCCGATAATTTCTTTTTTAAAAAAACTACTTGTTCACCAGACTGCTCAATTTTCCTTATTCTTTTTTTTAAATAGTGTATTTTATGAATCTTATTTTTGTTCTATTAATGGTTATCTATAAATTCATTTTTAATTGCATTTATTTTATGAAATATCAAGAGGAAATACACACACACACACATATAGTTGTACCTTGTTATTTGCAACCTATGTAAAATTAGAGTCCTGGTATAGTTTCTTCTACCCTCTCACCTGTCCCTGGACCCTCTTCGAAGCACTTACTTTTTGTGTTATAGGGCAAACTTTGCATTTTCTCAATGATTATTTTTCCAGATAAGGGATCAAACTGGATACAAGATAGAGCACTGGCTACTTTTGAAAGATGGTCACAGCAGGAAAGGTTACAGATTTCTTCAGTAACTGCTAATTTTCAGAGTTTCCGTGTCTGAGTAGGTAGATAGAACTGTCTTTGTCCTTCATCCTATCCAATTGCATCCTATCCACCCAAGGCATTACCTCTACTTAGATAAGTCTATGTATATCAAAACCTCAGTTATCTGTGTCTATAAGGAGACTCTCGGGGGGTTGACAGGTGGGGGGAAACATGGTAGGGAGGAAGTTCACTACTGAATTGAGTACCTTCTTTCACGAGATTATTAGAGTACTCTGAAATCAGGATCTATCTCTTCTGTAACTGAATCCGACTCTCCTAATTTGGAAATTGTTGTGGCCCCGACCCTCCTTCACTGATCAAGCCATCTGCCTCAAGGGAAATCAGGTGAATCACATAGTGAGTCTTCCACAGTGGGTCACTGCTGTAGCTCCTTACGTCCTTTGATTTGACATTCATTGACTATCACATGCTCTTATCTTGGTCTTAGCCTCTTGTGTTACAACTTTGATATTTGTTTTTAAAAAGAGAAAGAGAGGTTGAGTGCACGGACAAGCTGGGGAGGGTCCGAGGAAGCAGGGAAGAAGCAGAGAGAGAGAGAGAGAGAGAGAGAGAGAGAGAATCCTAAGCAGGCTCCACGCTCTGCACGGAGCCCAATGGAGGACTTGCTTCCAAGACTCTGGGATCATGACCTGAGCTGAAATCAAGAGTCGCACACTCAACCAACTGAGCCACTCTGGTGGCCCTGAAGATTTAGAGGGCTCTATTTGTGGAATTTCATATCACTTTAACAGCAGCACGATTATACTCATGGTTAATCATGGACAAGTCTGCATTTCTTTTACTCTGATGTCATCTGCCTTATATTTTGCAGAAAAAAATTTTTAATTTAGTTTAAAATTTAAAATTTAGTTTCAGGAAATGTATAGATGGTTCTTATTTTTTAAAAAGTCTTTCTCTGGGCAGTTAGTGAAATCTTGGAGGGAAGGAAGTGACATAAAAAGATCAGCTCAAATGCCCAGGTTGAAATGGATGTCAAATTGCACTTGACTCTAGAGTAAAATAAACCTTATTACTAATACATGCAATGTTTTATCTTTATTCTAGGTTGCAATCTTCCTGTGGCCTAGAGCAAGAATTCTTCTTTCTCTATTAAATTAGAGTATATTTCTTGTATTCTCCACAAAGATATAAAAATTACATGCTTTTATATTTTAAAACATGGTAGGCAATTAAATATGAACACAGGACAACGGCAATTAAAACATCTAGGTTAAAAATGTATTGCCAGAGCATATGGATACAACGTTTAAGCCAAGCTAGCTCATTTATTTTAATCACTATCACAAAACTTTAAAGAATAACTACATCATAAAGCTCAAATGTGAGGATTCTCCCTTCTATCAGTAGCCAATTCTATGATTATTTGGAGATGTGCTAATTAATTTTGCTCTGGCCTCTAAAGACCAGTATTAGTGAACTATATATGAATTTAATTAAATGTCCATATAAAATATATTATCCGGGGCACCTGGGTGGCGCAGTCGGTTAAGCGTCCGACTTCAGCCAGGTCACGATCTCGCGGTCTGTGAGTTCGAGCCCCGCGTCGGGCTCTGGGCTGATGGCTCGGAGCCTGGGGCCTGTTTCCGATTCTGTGTCTCCCTCTCTCTCTGCCCCTCCCCCGTTCATGCTGTGTCTCTCTCTGTCTCAAAAATAAATAAAACGTTAAAAAAAAATATATTATCCATATCTCTAAAAGTACAAAATCATTTTAAACAATAATGAAGCACCCTACTTCAGTTTTTTTTTCTCAATTTTTATTTAGAAAGTTCAGTGAAACAACATATCACAGTTTAGAAATATCTTAATCTCACTATAATTTACACTTAAAAATTTAGTAAGTTTTGATTTTCAACAATAAAATTTATAAAAATAATTTTACATTTATAAAATGAATCATTATTTCACAATAAATTATTCATATTTACCACCTGAAAAAGTTTTGTGCTATATAAAAGCAATAAGTTTCATTATCAATATTTTGAAAATACGCTGAAAACTTCAGTTCCTCTTTGTCCAGCATTTTTGGCAGTTAAGTATACAAAAATATTATATTAAAAATTCCCTGACCATAGTTATTAAAACAAAATCGTTAGCAATAATTTCTAAAACAAAGCTGTTTAGTAAATATATGCAGATAAGTTAAAGGGTTCACTAAAAATGAATTTTTTTAATATCTACTAAAAGAACAGCACAACAAGTAAAACAGAAACCTACAAAAGTATTTGTTATTTATAAAGATCAAAAGCATTCTTATACATGAAACTGAGACGCTAGAGTCAATTTCCAAAAAATAAGAGTGAAGTAAACTTTCCTCTTCCCTCACTCACTCTCAAAGATATATTTTACAGTTTTCAGGTACCAGCTACTAAAGGAATTTTGATTTTATTAAATCCATTATAGCTTCCAATTAACCATTTTTCTATACTGACTTAATAAGTTAGTTAATATTAACAGAACCTTTTTTATTCGTAGGGTAAATGGGGGGTTATGAAATCTTAGAAATTTTGAGAGATTCTGTAAAAATCAGTTAATTTAGTCTCTTACAAGTTGGGACACTATTTTTTTGTATCGCTCATAATTACTCAGTAATATTTCCTTGCTTCTGTGTGCGTGTGTGTGTGTGTGTGTGTGTGTGATAGAGAAAGAGAGTGAGAGAGATCACTATTTCTTGAGGTGGCCCATCATGCATTGTTTTCAAATACACTTCAGCTTTAGATGATATCAAATAGGGCTCCAATGAACTGTACTCCTCAGTCCACTGGATTTTTGAAAATCCGCTGAGCCAGTGATTTGCATTTGTGTTTTCATCATAACCTATCTGGTATGTCTTTTATTTCCTTTAATTTGTTTTAAGGTTTTGTTTTGTGTTTTTGTCTTTTTTGTTTTTTGTTTTGGGGGGAAGACATTAAAGCGACAACAGTGGTTTCTTATTCATGCTGCAACAAATTTACACTCATTGATTACATGTAAATATGTGTTACAGGTAACAAGATGGGCTGGATTCAGTCATCACATCAACTGCATATATTTAAAAACCATAGTAAGAAGCTCACATTTTTCATTCCACACCAGATTTATTCTCCTTAGAATCAAGCAGATCTGGGCGTCAAGGTGGCTGTCCTGCTCTTCAGGTTTACAAACTTCAGTTATGTACTTCAACCCTCCAAGCAATAGGTTTCTTCATTTATAAGGGAAAGACAATAATACCTCTCTTACGGGGTTGCCGTGAGGATTGAGACACTGTGTGTGTGACAATGGCCATTTTGTCTCCCAATATCAGCCTCCCAGAGCGGTGCCGTTTTAGTTGGCACAAGGCTTATCACCTAAAGACTGCTCTTGCAGGGTCCCTGGGAACTAGAGGCAGGCATATGCTAAAATTCAAGTCAATGGATGACTACCAGATTGTTTTATGAGAGAGAAGGCAGGGTTTCTCTTGGTCGAGCCACTGTGTTAAGGGTTTCCTTTTTTACCATTTATCCTGTATCTTGATTGGTAAAACAAACATGTTTTACGTTAAAATACATCTTCAAATATAGGCAGGATTACAAGGAATAGCCAGTCAGCCTTGGCATGACTATAATTTTCTAAGCTTAAGATAGAGGTGTATTTAACTGTGGGCCAAAAAGATGCTTCTTAGCCACTGGATATCCACAAGTGATTCTTCAAATAAATATTTCCTATTTTATAGCAACTGCTTTATTTTTCTAACTTGCAAGTTTGAAATTGATAAAAAAAAAAATGGTTCATTTTACACTGATCTGGAATTGCTGATCTGCCTACCATTCTTAGTCACAAAAGAACACTCAGTTCTGCATCACATCACAATGAAGCAATTATTTATAAATTTAAATTAATATCGAGACAACAAATGAAAGTAGTACATAAGATTCAACTGGTTCCAGAGCAGTGCAAGGGAAGTTGGAAAAATATACTATACAAACATATTGAAACTCAGATATGCATTATTTGCATCTGAAAGTTTTAAACAATAGCAACAACAAACAAAATGAGCATATAAACAAGAAAAGAGGATACCATCTTACAACAGCACCATGAAGAAGCCTTGGCTAAGAGTTTGCCAAAAGTACTATCCTGAGTTATTTTAAGACCAACAAGTTTTCACATTTACGCAGTGCCATTCAGGAGTAAACATATTCTCACAATTGCTTTTGTTTGGAGAGAGGCTGGTGTGAAATCACTGAAGCTTGGTTTGCGGCTATTTTGTACTGTTCTTGTCCAGAGCCTTGTGGTGGGGAAGGGAGTGGGGTCTCAGGAGTTGCTAAAAAAGAATCAGAGAATTGTATGTGATGGTGACAGTCACCTTGGCCCGGCCTAGAAAGCCCTGCATGACACCCATATGCATTATTCCACTTTGGAGATATTATCATATATATGAAGATCATATATAAAGTATGATTAATCCGTTATGAGCTCACTGAGGTGCTATTGGAGTTGCACTGCCCTCTGCCCTCCCAGATAGCATCCAAACGGAATAGAGATGCTTAAACGTCTTCATAGTCACTCAACAGTCACGTACTGTCTTTCTTAATAGCATTTATGAGCATTTGATTTTCTCACAAACCCAGCAGAAAAAAAGTTAATGAAGAGTATGAACAGAATGCCAGGTTGTTGTTTTTTTTTCAAATCTTTGAAAACAACTGTACAACTTTTACAATGAAAAATGCACATAAAATATATTTGGTTTGGATTCCACTGACTCAAACATAATAGACAACATAAAAAGTTAAGACATTTTGCAAGTGCTTTGAAACCTATATCGGAATTAAAAACATCTGAAAAATACTGGCATTTTGCTTCAAAATTATTCTATTACAGTTGAGCTCACCCATCCCTTCCTCATCAAAGAGCAAGCCCAAGTAATTGAAAAAAGAAGTTACAGTGTGAATACTTCATTGTCTAGAATAGTATTTCCTCCTATTGCAAACTTTTACTATATTATAAAATAATCTGGGAGCTATCTTAGATTTTTAATTTTTTTTTTTAATTTTTTTCAACGTTTTTTATTTATTTTTGGGACAGAGAGAGACAGAGCATGAACGGGGGAGGGGCAGAGAGAGAGGGAGACACAGAATCGGAAACAGGCTCCAGGCTCTGAGCCATCAGCCCAGAGCCTGACGCGGGGCTCGAACTCACGGGCCGCGAGATCGTGACCTGGCTGAAGTCGGACGCTTAACCGACTGCGCCACCCAGGCGCCCCAGATTTTTAATTTTTTAAAACTTGAAATATTTTAATATTCACATTGGTTTTAATTCCATATTTAACAGAACGAATAGAAAATGTTTGATAATCAGCCTGAGGCACTGCAAACTGTATAGACTTTTTTTTCAAAATAGCTTTTAAAAATTGATACAAAAATAAGAACACTTCCTTTTTGCCTGATCTTTCACATATTGACTTTATATTATTAAATATGGTTGGAAACAACAATTTACATAGAGTTTAATTAACAAAAGAATAACCATATTTGCTTTAAAATTTTTTTTCTGGATATTTGGGATGAATCTAAGACTGCCAGGACCTGCTCTAAAAGGCCAGGAAAATACACATGAACTTAAATTTATTTTGTGTGTATGTGTAATGTTTTGTTTTGCATAAAATATAAACTCTTCCAAATAGGTGCTAACAGAGGAAATTTTTCCTTTACAAATGGATTCTCATAAATATTATGTTGAAAGAGGTAAAATAAAAATGAGAAATGTGATGTGATTTTAAATAGACTAGGGTCAGCAAATATGCTTTTAAAAGTACTAGAAAACAGCCTGGGTGGCGCTGTCGGTTAAGCGTCCGACTTCAACCAGGTCACGATCTCGCGGTCCGTGAGTTCGAGCCCCGCGTCGGGCTCTGGGCTGATGGTTCAGAGCCTGGAGCCTGTTTCTGATTCTGTGTCTCCCTCTCTCTCTGCCCCTCCCCCGTTCATGCTCTGTCTCTCTCTGTCCCCCCCCCCCCCCAAAAATAAATAAACGTTAAAAAAAATTTTTTTAAAAAAAAAGTACTAGAAAACTAACATTTAAAAAGTACAAGATTCAACCACCAGCAGAATTGTTAAACGTTCTTGCCAGCCAATGCCTATAATGTTTAATATGTTGTTAAAGTGTTTTGTTTTCTGGGTTTATGAATAACTAATCCCTAAGAGAGATGACGTTGGACTTGCCCTGTCTGCTCTTGACTATGAAAGGAACATGGTAACATTTGCTTTCCAAGGATGGTCCCAAATTGATGTCTTTCAAACACATTTCAAGTTCTGTTTCCATAATATGAGTTATGTTTTAACAATTTTATTTCTGCCTCTATCATGTAATCAAAGAACTTTGTGTTTCAGACACTATTTACACATAGGTTTACCAGGGGCTGTATCTAAAAGGCAACAGGGATAATCCCCATTTCTGTGGCCTCCACTTTCCCTACACCACTAGGTAGCAGTCAGGTGGTACTCACTAAATTGTCACATTTGTTTGAACATTTCCATGAAACCACACTGTAATTAGTTACTGAGGGCTACTGTAAATTCAGTAGGTAATACAGACACACATAATAATTATATCACAATAACTCAAGGAATCTCAGTGAGTTAGCTGGTTTAGTGTTAAGAGGAGATAGATCAATGGTAAATGTGGGAATACTAAATATAAACTCAGAAACAATCCTAGGTATTTTGTCAAATACAGATTTTTATCTCTGGAGTAGCTTATGAAAAATAGAATTTTTGTTAAATCTGCAACATTATCATACTAACTTTGCTACTAACCCCTACTATTTATGTAATCATTTTAGTTCCAAAGTGTTTTCCCAGTGGCCCTCACTTTGCACAAATCTGACATGCATGGATTTCAGTTATTACAGCTTGGATAAATAGCACCAGTCTGGCAAAAACATGGCTCAAATTTCATTTAGCATGGTAACTCACAATTAACTGTGAGTAACTGCATAAATACAAACTTCACTGCTAACTCTTCGGTCTACATGAATCACCTCAGTAACAGATGTGTATTGTGATCAGTAACCAATCACATCACATCTTTAAGTCTGTCTGGGATGTCACTGAACATATTTTATTCAGTTCATGTACTGACAACTAAGTGTGTAGTTGTGTTGCCTCCTCATCTCCTAGTGATAAATTCTCATGACATTTTGCAAAAAAATGGACAATTAAAACAGAATTGGCAAAAATAAATAAAAGAAAAGAAGCAAAAAGTGACAATGCAGGAAGTGAATGGAACATGGATGGAGCTGCAGAAGAAATAGTTCCCCTGGGAATGCAGACACTGCTGCTCTTTGAGTCTCTAAATCTGCATTCTGTGAAATCTCGCTGTTTGCAATAACATGGATGGAGCTAGAGTGTGTTATGCTAAGTGAAATAAGCCAATCAGAGAAAGACAAATACCATATGATTTCATTCATATGTGGAGTTTACAAAACAAAACAGATGAACATATAACATGGGAAAGTGGGGGGAAGAGAAGAGAGGGAAACAAATCACAGGAGACTCTTAATGATAGAGAACAAACTGAGGGTTGATGGGGGGGTGGGGACATGGCTAGAAGGGTGATGGGTACTAAAAAGGGCACTTGTGATGAGCACTGGGTTTTGTGTGTAAGTGAGGAATTACTGAATTCTACTCCTGAAACCAATACTGCACTGTATGTTCACTGAAATTTAAATTAAAACAATAAAAATAAATCTGCATTCTGGGTCTTAGTGAAGGTAAAGTGATGGACATTAGTGAAAAAACTTCATATTAAATAATTTCTCAGAGATATTTCAGACATGGAAATTGCGAAGGGTAAAATCTTGGAAGCTGATCCAAACTTCCCAAAAGAGTAAAATTCATCAAGGCATAGAAAAGATGCTCACTTCCACTTGCAATGTAGAACAGAGGAAAGCAGGACGCACTGTTGAAACTATACTTCATAATTTTTTTACATATTTTTAAAAAATGTTTTTTTATTTATTCTGAGAGAGAAAGAGGGGACACAAAAGGGGAGGGGCAGAGAGAGAGGGAGAGGGAGAATCCCAAGCAGGCTTCACGCTGTCAGCACAGAGCCTGACGTGGGGCTCAAGAGTCAGACGCTTAACCAACTGAGCCATCCAGGCACTCCTTCTTGATAATTTTTTAACAAACAAACTAACAAACAAACAAACAAAAACATGTGAATTCTCATTGTATCTAATGCTTACATTACAGTGTCTTAAATAGATATTAGGATTATTATTATTCAGCTTCACTATAGAGTTACAACCTGTAGTTAGGAGAGTTCTTAATGTTTCAGCAAACACTTTTATTTATTCATTTTTAAATGTTTATTTTAAGATAGAGAGAGAAAGGGAGAAAGCATGAGCATTCACACACACACACACACACACACACACACACACACGTGAGAACAGGGAAGGGACAGAGAGAGAGAGGGAGAGAGAGGATCGCAATCAGGCTCCGTGCTGTCAGTGCAGAGTCCAACATGGGGCTTGATCTCACAAACCATGAGATCGTGACCTGAGCTGAAACCAAGAGTCTGATGCTTAACCAACTGAGCCACCCAGCCACCCCGCAAACATTTTTAAAGGTCACAATCAACTATAATTTTCCTATTGATTATTAAGATTTCCTTGCACACTTCCAGCTTGCACAGTCCTTTTCACAGCCCTGCACTACCAGGCCAAACCAGGACTGCCTGTACATTCTGTTTTATGCACTCACATCCAATTTTAGGGAGCAAACTCATGATCCCTAGGAGAACAAGGACTTGCTGAATATCACAATCTCCCACAGTGGAGTCCTACAGAGGAAACTGCACCTAAATTTTGCTATTGCTGAGTACTGATAGATTCTTTCCCCAAATTCCACTTTTTCTTAATTAAGTTCAAAAAATATTATGGTTGGCAAAATACTTACAGATCTGGTCTGTATGAACCAGTGTTGACATGGGACCTAAAAGTATAGTTTGTCCGGTTAATGGATCTTGAGACAAATGTGGGTGCACCGGATGATGGAGATGGCTGGCGTCACTGGAAGCACCTACAGAAGATAAAAAGATGCTTGCGTTAGTGACATTTAATCAGCGACAGCAAGTTTACCTTGCAACACATGCTTTGATTGACAGCTTGAATATTGCTATTTTTGCAAAGTGCTTTTTGGGATTTCAAAAATAAATTAATAGAACTGCTGCCATATTAAGGACAATGTCAGCTTTCACTGTGCATTGGCTAGATTAATGTTGTATCATGTTATGTTGTATATTAATAATGGACCTTGTGTGCTGTTTCCTGGAATCATTAGGTTTGCTGCCTGTTGTTAAGGCAATTCCAAGAATCACTTACCTCAAGTTTATAGTATTTGGGATCACACTAATAGCATAAACAACTTTTATTTCAGAAAGATGTCATTAGAAACACATTAAGCACCAGAAAACTAAAACTAAACTAAACTAAAATAAAATAAAGTGATTTTACAAGGAAATTTAATTTAGATCAGAACACAAAATAAATGATTTCTTAACTTATTCCTGACATTTATTGCAGCAATGAAATCTCATTTTTCCCTTCTCATTGTGTTATGTCAATTAATTATTTCAGGAGCAAAGTGTTTAGTTTTAAGGTATTTACTAGAAATATTTTTAGGTTCTGTTGCAATGCTGGTATCCTTGAGCTTTTAAAGGAGTCATGGCATAGAAAAATATAATACACCCCTAGGAGTCCTAAAAATAGAAAATCCATTTCTATTCACCATATTTGAAAGGATAGAAACTGAGGCAAGAAGAACTGCGGGGGACAAAGATGGCAGAGACTAGTAAGAATGAGGATTTCAATATGTTCAAGTATTTTTGTCTCCATCAAATGGGTTTTGGAGACTTTCTAAATGTTAAAAAAAACAAAATGAATCCACTATGTCACAGACAAAATATAAATAGATTCTGCTCCAGAAACCAGTACTACCTATGTATGCTAACTAACTTGAATTCAAATAAATAAAATAAAATAGAAAAACTTGGAAGAAGATAAACAAACAAACAAGTCAACCTATTACAGACTGCAATGCTAATAAATAATAAATTCTTAAATGTACTCACCACCTAGTAACATTTCCTGAAGTAAGTTGTCAATTTTAACCATCCCAAAAAGTTTAACGAACTGTATTTGCTCAATCATTTGCCAGGTGATGCTCTGCAGCGTGGGCAGGAGCAAGAGCAGCTCTCCAAACCTCCCCCGGGAGTCATATTGCCTGTCATTGATGTAGTCCTCCAAACTGAGCTGCACTTGGAACCGCATGTTCTTAATCTTTACCGGGTCGCTTAGCCCTTTTGCATCTAAGAAAGGAAGAAAAGGGGCAATCTAAGAGATCGCATCTTGCTAGAGTGTGAGAGAAAATATTCCAATATTAAATAATGGTTAATTTTCATTTTAATTGTTGTTTAATGGAAATCTGAAAACAAACCTGGATCAAAAAATACAATTGCCTTCAAACAAGCATATTCATTGTCATCAATCTGAATTTCTTGAAATGGTCGTACCAACTCGTCTAGAACCCGGTTGGCCACGCGGCTGATCTCAATTTCACTGCTGTTGCGGTGAATTACGTAGTTGTTTCCTAGGAGGAAAAAAAAAAAAAAGATCAGCACACCCCAACAAAAGATTGTCGGATATGATTTAAGTTTTCATAAATAAATATTTTAAACGGTTCTTCCCTTGAAGGAATAGGAATAGTACTTTCTTTCAGTAGTGGATTGGAAGAATAAATATTGTTAAAATGTCAATACTGCAAAGCTCTCTACACATTCAATGCAATCCCAATCAAGTTGCACGAGCATTCTTCTCGAAGCTAGAAAAGGCAATCCTAAAATTTGTATGGAACCACAAAAGACCCCGAATAGCCAAAGTAATTTTGAAGAAGAAGACCAAAGCTGGAGGCATCACAATCCCAGACTTTAGCCTCTACTACAAAGCTGTAATCATCAAGACAGCATGGTATTGGCACAAAAACAGACACATAGAACAATGGAATAGAATAGAAACCCCAGAATTAGACCCACAAAAGTATGGCCAACTAATCTTTGACAAAGCAGGAAGGAATATCCAATGGAAAAAAAGACAGTCTCTTTAACAAATGGTGCTGGGAGAACTGGACAGCAACATGCAGAAGGTTGAAACTAGACCACTTTCTTACACCATTCACAAAAATAAACTCAAAATGGATAAAGGACCTGAATGTGAGACAGGAAATCATCAAAACCCTAGAGAAGAAAGCAGGAGAAAACCTCTCTGACCTCAGCCACAGCAATTTCTTACTTGACACATCCCCAAAGGCAAGGGAATTAAAAGCAAAAATGAACTATGGGGACCTCATCAAGATGAAAAGCTTCTGCACTGCCAAGGAAACAATGAAGAAAACTAAAAGGCAACCGACGGAATGGGGAAAGATATTTGCAAATGACATACCAGGCAAAGGGCCAGTATCCAAAATCTATAAAGAACCCACAAAACTCCACACCCAAAAAACAAATAATCCAGTGAAGAAAAGGGCAGAAGACATGAATAGACACTTCTCTAAAGAAGACATCCAGATGGCCAACAGGCACATAACAAGATGCTCAACATCACTCGTCATCAGGGAAATACAAATCAAAACCATACGCAGATACCACCTCACGCCAGTCAGAGTGGCTAAAATGAACAAATCAGGAGACTTATAGATACTGGAGAGGATGTGGAGAAACGGGAACCCTCTTGCACTGTTGGTGGGAATGCAAATTGGTGCAGCCGCTCTGGAAAACAGTGTGGAGGTTCCTCAAAAAATTAAAAATAGATCTACCCTATGACCCAGCAATAGCACTGCTAGGAATTTACCCAGGGGATACAGGAGTGCTGATGCATAGGGGCACTTGTACCCCAATGTTTATAACAGCACTTTCAACAATAGCCAAATTATGGAAAGAGCCTAAATATCCATCAACTGATGAATGGGTAAAGAAATTGTGGTTTATATACACAATGGAATACTATGTGGCAATGAGAAAGAATGAAATATGGCCTTTTGTAGCAACGTGGATGGAACTGGAGAGTGTTATGCTGAGTGAAATAAGCCATACAGAGAAAGACAGATACCATATGTTTTCACTCTTATATGGATCCTGAGAAACTTAACAGAAGACCATGGGGGAGGGGAAGGAAAAAAAAAAAAAAGGTTAGAGAGGGAGGGAGCCATAACATAAGAGACTCTTAAAAACTGAGAACAATCTGAGGGTTGATGGGGGGTGGGAGGGCGGGGAGGGTGGGTGATGGGTATTGAGGAGGGCACCTGTTGGGATGAGCACTGGGTGTTGTATGGAAACCAGTTTGACAATAAATTTCATATTAAAAAAAAAAAGAAAGAAAAACTTAAGAACACGTCAAGGATAAATGACATTGATAATATGATCACATGCATTTTAACAGACTCAGTCACTAGTGATAACACGAAAGTGCAGACTAATAACAAGCTAATAATTGACAGGAGAGAAACAAAATATAATGATTACCCTTCCACTATGTCAGTTATCTATTAGTGTCTTAATCATTTATGAGTGTAACACAAAACCTAAAGAAACTTTCTTGCTTACAGTGGATAAAAAGAGGACTCCTTTAGTGGTCTAGGTATATGTAGGTGTAACAACTTTTGAAACACAACTTTAACAGGCCTAAGTAGATGAATTCAAGAAAGTTCAGAAATTGAACAGAGACTAGACTCCCTAATCCCTAAGGATGCTCCAATTTAGAATGTCTCTGGCTGTATGTGACAAATAGTATAGCTTCAAAAATATTAGAAACTAGAAGTTATTAGAGCTCCTAAGATAACAGCTAAATTGTTATTTTCTGATTTTATAAGAAGTCAATATTCTGAATTCTTTCATTGCAGGCAAAGACAATCTTCAGTGTAACAACATGTAAAAAGATCTAAAAAAATATAGACTTGCTCTTATGAAAAGTTAGTTTACCTAATTATTCAGGGTAAAACAATTTAGAAATAGGTAGCAAATACATTTGAGTTTTTAAGTATACTGTATTCAATCTATAATGAGAGCAGTATTATAGCAGTCTTATAAATGCAGGAGAGTGTTTAATAGAATCTAAGAGCATGGTCTCTGCAGTCACATTATGTGGTTTAGAATCCTGGCTCTATCCCTTACTGGCTTTGTGACCTTAAGTTAACTTTCTCTGCCTGCATTTCTTCACCTGCAGAATAAAAGTACGTACCTATCCCTTAGGGTTATCATGAGGATTAAATGAGATAGCATGTATTTATATGTAAAGCACTTAGAGAATGCATCTTGCATAGTAAGTCCTACGCAAGATGTAAGTAAGATATTAGCTATATCTATTATATTAGCTATATCATATTATATGTGAAAAATATATCATATTTTATTTATTCCTATTTTGGGTTAAAATATCTAACACAAAGACATATTGAGCAATCTAGTCATCATTTCACACAGCCAGAGAGAAGTGGAGATAACAATCATTACAGCCATCTCAACTCTCTCAACAGGAAAACTAATTTTAAAAGGTAAGTAAGGTGGGTGGATGGAAGCAATTGCTTAAGGAAGACAAAAGCTTTCCCTTGTGTCTTCTTCCCCCATTCAACCTGCCATCCTACTTTGTCTCTTCCAGCACTACTACTTAACTATCAGGATTTTCAGACATAGTCACCAAATAATTTTTTTAACTTGGGATTTTGCATCATATCATAGGCAATGAGATCATAGGAAATAGACATGTTCCTTGGAAGTGTATAAAACAAGTTACAAGTATTAAGCAGCCACTGAAGGAGTTGGAAACAACACTGAGACTCCAATAAAGTGGTCACATAAATCACCAGTTATTTGTCCTGATAGGATTTAAAGATACTTCATTATTATGTTTATTGAGCAACATTTCTCTTTTATTTTTAAATCTTTTCCCTCCAGTTTTATTGAGAAATAATTGACATACATCACTGTATAAGTTTAAGAAGGACAGCATGACAGTTTGATTTACATATATTGTGAGATGATTACCATGGTAGGTTCAATTAATGTCCATCTTCTCATGGATACAACGAAAACAGAAGGAAAAAAATCCCCTTGTAATGAAAATGCTTAGAATTTATACTCTTAACAATGTCCACACATATTATACTGCAAGTGTTAGCTCTAGTCATCATGTTGTACATCATATCCATAGTATTTATTTGACTTGTAACTGGAAGTTTGTACCTTTTATATTTTTAATTTTTTTTTTAATGTTTTATTTATTTTTGAGACAGAGAGAGACAGAGCATGAACAGGGGAGGGGCAGAGAGAGAGGAAGACACAGAATCAGAAGCAGGCTGCAGGCTCCAAGCTCTGAGCCATCAGCCCAGAGCCCAACGCGGGGCTCGAACTCATGGACCGCGAGATCGTGACCTGAGCTGAAGTCGGACGCTTAACTGACTGAGCCACCCAGGCACCCCAAGGAAGTTTGTACCTTTTGACCACCATCTCCAACTTATATTTTTAAAAAATTTTCATGTTTATTTATGAGAGAGAGAGTCAAAGTGTGAGAGAGGAAGGGGAAGAGAGAGAGGGAGACACAAAATCTGAAGCCGGCTCCAGGCTCTGAGCTGTCAGCACAGAGCCCGATGTGGGGCTTGAACTCTCAGACCACATGATCATGACCTGAGCCAAAGTCAGATGCTTACCAACTGACCCAACCAGGTGCCCCTCTCCAACTCTTATTTTTAAATGTTAATGCACCCGAAACATCTCAATGCCCTCTGAACTTCGCTGCAATGAAGTCAAGGAAACATAGGGTCTTGAATGAGGATACAATTAATTAAATCCAATTTGTGAAATGAGAGTACCATTTGACAGTGTCTTGAATGCTTGCTACATACAGAATAGATCCTGTGTAAAGATGAAGCATGCATAATTTCTTCTTAAATTAAAAAAAAAAAAACTTACCCAAAAGCAAAATATCTTTATACACCATGGATCTCTTTGTCGCTCCAAGCAGTAAATGTTCCCCTGCGTGAGCTCTCAACAGTGCCACCTTAATGAAAAATTTCAAGTTTAACAATTAATTATAAAATATAATGATTAAAAGATGGTATAATATGTATCTGATTAATTCAGTGCTCTTTAAGCCTGGGACCTTTTTTTTTTTGGTTTTAATAACTATAATATTCATAGATGCTTGCCATCATTAAGCCTTCTATTTTTCTATTTCAGCATGTCCATAGAGTTTTACTTTTTATAATTCTAAAGCTTAGAAGTTAATACAAACAAACAAAATAGATCTGGAGTGAAATAGAATCAAACAGAGTTCAAATGCTGCCTGGTCGTACCTGTTGAATCTTAGATAAGTTAACCAGTATGTTTGGGACTCAATTGTTTTCATCTGTCAAATGGAGGTAGTGATAAAAATCTCAAAGGTAGTCATGAGGACCAAATAAGAAAACATATGTAAAAAACACTCTGTTATTACACATAATAGGCTGAATAAACAAAAGCAAAGCAAGGACTTGTGGCAAACTAAGAAGAGGATGGATAACCTCATTGCTGACACTTTGTAGACTGAAGCTAATTGCACTAAGCTTTCAACTGAACTTTATGCATATGCTCAACTACTTGCCATCACCTCTAGGAAGACTAAGAAGCATTCCAAATATAAAACATCAAAGTAATGTTTCTCCAATATCTTCATCATCTTACTAACTGGTCTGCTCATCCAAAAGGCTTGTTCACGTCAGAATCCAAAGCCCGTTTTGATTCCTTTCTAGTTGTACAGCAAATCCGGGTACTGCTTCTCCATAGCTACCACCCCAGCCCGAGCCTTTGCCATTCTTCATCTTGCCTGCCACAATGCGCTCCACAGAGCTAATAAGTTGATTCTTGCTTCCCTTCTGGTTCCTCCATCCTAAATCCTTCTTGACAGAGCTTCCCAGATAACTTTTGTGAAACAATAGTCACTATCATCCCTCTCCTGAAAACTCCTCACTGGTTTCTAATTGCCTTTACAATAAAACCCAAAGTCGTTAACAATGGCCTCCCAGGTAACAGCACAATGGTTTGTCCTCCCCCGCTCCTTCCCCCCGCCTTCTCTGATCTCAGCTTATGATATCCCTTGTTCTCTTGTTCTCTTTTCTCTGCACTCATTATTTCAACTTGCCTCAGAGCCTTTGAACATGCTGTTCCTATCCCTGGAATGTCTTGTCCTCAGATGTTGGTATGTTTGGTCCCTTGTCATTCAGGTCTCAGGAAAAGTCACTGATCCCCAATTTAAAGTATGTCTTGCCATTCCAACACAGTCATTCTACAACTCACCCCATTCCATTTTATAGAACTTATCCCCACCTAGAATTAACTTACTCATAATCTGTATCTTTTTTATTGTCTGTCTCTCCCAAATAGAGTGCAGACTTTATGAGAATCATGATGAGTCTGTATTTTTACTGCCAGATCGTCACAGAACCTAAAATGGAACTGTAGTCCCAATAAATATTCGTTTGATGAATTTTCTGAGTGAATTTAACTGATCTAGGATCAGTTTTAAAAATTGTTAAGTGGAGATAATAACATTTATGTCAGAGGTCCTGAGGGGATTCAATAAAATAATGTAATATTTAATGCAACTGAAAGCTACTTCTCTAATGCCTTAACCACACTGGACATTTGCCCGTCCGAGGCTAGTATTGTTATATTGTTAGTATTCAAGCGTCATTTAGCAAATAAAAACCATTTTTGACAGGTTACTAGATTTTAATTTTCCAATTTTTAAATCATTGCCTTCACACATAAGTCAGCAACTTTTAAAGAGGAGTGATAATAAAAATATAAAACTGATAAATAACGTAACCTACTTATATGGCTTGGGGTGAGACACGTATGTTTTAGCAATTTAGCATTATTCAGTCTGAAATAACCTTCTGAGCTTAGCTATCTTTATGACATGTCAATAACCATGACTCATACCAGGAAGGCAGTTACAGAACATTTTAAGAATGATTTCAGAATTCATAGTACTTTTTTATTTTTTTATCTTTTGGTCACCAGGATTTCACCTGTCCTAGAAATATAACTTCTGACTTCCTATGATCACTTTTTGTTCTGGTTGTATAAATATTTTGCCCTTCTCTGATTTTTAAACAATCAATATGCACCTTTCCCTTTAATTGTTTGTTTTTGTATATCAGTGATAAAGAACATGGCCAGAGGGTGTAAAACTATACACTGGGCATAATACATATCATGGTTTACTCAGTGTGGGGAATTAAAAATTTTCAAATTATATGCATCTACAAAATATTATAAACTATTTAAATGGAGGCATTAAAAATGAATCTGAAGCTAATAATCTCATTTTCACAGACTAGGAAATTAAAATTCTTAACTATTCATTAAAATGTCTTAATGTATATATGACAAAATACCAAAATATATGTATTAGGAAAAGTTTGTTGTGTCTGAAATACTATTGAAATCTGTAGACTTCAGAGCATGATTCTAGAGATGTTTTTGCCGAACCCATATTTTTATACAGTAAATGCTAGGATAGAATTGACAACATGAAAGGCAAAATTTTATGTTAATTGCATAGAGTTCCTACCAAGACACCAACACAACCTGTGAGGTTTCTGTCTAGGAGTGGCCTGGTATTTCCATGGAATTTTATATGGCGCCTTCCAAGATACACCAAGACACGAGAGTATACCTTTTCCCTCCCAGACATTTGTCTCACAATGGCAGTTACTTGCTATCCTGTTTTTCTTCTTCACTTAAGCTTTTTCAACTCCAAGAGGGAAGATCAGTGTCTTCCTCAACTTCACCCAATTAATAAATTTGCAAGACCCCTAACACAGAAGTTAAACAGTTGTGCCTCTTAATAGAACAAGGTGACTGGACAAGAAAGCCAATCTTTCCCTCACAAGATAATTTAACTTGTCAACTCTGGTAAACCTATTTTAAATATAATTTAAAAAACACATAAACTGGGCAAAGTTCAAAAATCATTTCTGAAAGCATTCGTAAAATCTTTAACTTATACCTGGTCATCCAGCGGTAACTCACAGAAGGCGGGGATATATTTAGCCCATTCCACCAAGACTAAGAGCTGCTGCTTCATAGATTCGCAGACATCACTGATACTTGCAATTTTCTTAACATTTATGTCAGTGCTTGCTCCAGGGCTTGAGATTGAGATCTGGCATTAAGAAGATTACATTAATTTATCATTTCAAATAACACCTGAGTACCATTTCTCTTTTTTCTATGATTCCAATAAGTAAACACCTTTGAAGTGGACACTATCATTGCCACAGTATCTTGAAATATATGAAACATTTTAAAATTGAGAAAAAAAAATACCAAGCAGTACAAGTTAAATTGAAAACATTCACTGCACAGTACCATGGCTCTGGGAGCACTACCTTCTTTTACTGGCAAACCCATAAAATAAGTTACTCAACTTTCAGGGAGTTTCCTAATTCAAAATGACTATACAGGAAGATATGCAGTATTCACCTGAAATACACTCTGCGATTTTATTTTTAATTAAAAAATGATATTTCCACTAAGAAAGCCCACCTTTAACTTTTAAAAATATCCGAAGAAAACTTTTCCAGTGGATACAGTTTACCAAACTGAGGAGAAAAGATTTAGATGACAAGCCAAAACTGCAGTAAATAAAAGCCCATCAACATAAAACTAAGAAACCACCTTTTGACTCAGCAACATTGAAAAGCTTAACATGGAATGAAAAAGTTTTCAAACTATATATAATTTTGAACTATATAAAATATAAGTGGCTTCCAAATGCTTTTCTACTAAAGAAAGTCTCTTTCTAAAAGTCCTTATAAACTTAATTTTTGAATATGTGTCTGCGTGGTATACATGTCTTTCTATGTGTATGTTTATTTCCTCACAGCTTCCCTTTAAACCATTTCATAAATGCTCTATACGACTATCAAGTAATCTTCAAATACTGATGATAATGGTGATGTTAGCCTCATCATACTACTCTCATGCTATTAAAAACGAAAGTAGTTGCACTGACTCGTTATAGGACCTGATTAATAGTTAGCTATTTCATAATTTGCTTTACAATAGAAAAATACCATTAACTTTTCTAATGCGGCAATGCCAAAATAAACTGTCTTCAAAAGGTTTCTTCATCTTAATTTTAAACGATTTATTTTTATGTATATAACTAATGACAGACATTTTTTAAACTTTGGAACTGATATTCTCATTCTAGAAGTTTAAAATAATAAACTCTTCCTCCATTGGCTTCTGAATTCTGGCTCTTCTCTTAAATACTTGTTTCCAAAGCTGATGCCAAGATGAGTTCTGGAGTCCAGAAACCATTTTCAAGGAAGCAAGCTCTGATGATAGGTCTCAACCAAACTCCCAAAAAGCCATAGTAACCAATTTTACAGATTTAATCAGTGAAACAAGACAGTGCCCCCAGAACACTGTGCTCCTCATTCAGAATTTTAAATCAACCTCATAAGCTAACTTTTATTAAACAATAGTGCACTGAAATGCATTTCGGTTTTTGTTTTTTTTCTGTTTAAAAACAGGAAGTTGTCCAGGGAAAGTCAAAATTAAGTCAACAGTCCACCTAATACTTTCAAAGTAAAACTGCAACTGATTTAAGTAGTGAGCACATGTAAAGGAACGTAGATTATTTTACAATTATGCCTAAACAGACATTTGATTCTTTTAAACAGGATTGAGTACCGGTGTGCATTGCATACCTGGCGAGACCGAATTTCTGCCTGTGCCAGTGTGTTAATGGAGGGGATGTTGCTGCCATCAAATGTGCTCCTTCTGGTGCTTATTCGATCACGTTCATTTTGCACAGCTAGGGAAGAAAATCACAGTATTCACTGGTCAGTTCTCTTCAGTCCGCGTCAGGACATAAGTTTAAAGATTAAAAAATAGTAATAAAAAGTAAAAATGGATATTTCTTAAAGACCGGGGAAGGGGTTAAGACAGAGGGGAAGTATGACTGAAAATATGTTTCATTCTGTACTGCTTTTAAAAAAGTAGAAAGCCAGGCCTGTCAATAGAGCTCATAAAATACTGCCTTTTGAAACTTCATGGTTGCATGCGTGTCACAAAGTGTTGGGTCAGCCAGTTCAGCCACGCTGTATAACAGGATGACTTTCCATTCTCTCAAAGTTAATAAAACCATAAGATAAGTAGATGAAGAGTATCGCCATAAGATTGACCAAGTCAGAGAGTGTATCCACTGTTAGAAGATATGAGTCATAGATTTTGAAACTTCATATTCATTTTTTTTTCCCTTAAACACTAGCCAAAATGGAAATTAAATTTATTTAGTGAAGGTGAATTTAAGCTTGCAGTCTTATAATCTCTTGTGAAACCATGTTCTTGGGACAGTTTACTAACATTAATAAAGCAAAAATTGCAGCAAGGGGTCTCTCCCGAGAAGAATGAGGTTTTGAACATCAGCATTTTGGAAAGATGAAGACTTCTTAAGTATTATACAAAAAGCTTCTAAGAGAGAGCCAAATTCCTTATTGAAAACTACATTTTAAACATAAGCAAGAGTGAACAAGGGAGTATTACCTTGTATACGTGTCATACAAAGAAAAATACAAGTCAAATATCAAAGTTAGTGTTTAAAACTTAGGAGATAAATTTATCTTCTGTTAACCAAAAAGAACAAAAACAAGGCCTATAGTCCTTAAATCTTTTTAGATCAATATGCTACTCTGTATTGCTGGAGAGCTAAGACATTAAACTATCAGAATTTTTTATGCAATTATTCTCCTTAATACTAAAGAGATTCATCAGTTCCTATGCCAAAATCTACTATCTACCCAAACGTACTATTAACCACCAACTCATTAATTTGGAAGAGAATAATACTGGACTTTTGCCTTTAAGAGTGAGCAGTGTTTAAGTTGGAGTGAATCATTAATATTTTATTTTAAAATCATATTTACTGGTAGCTTACTCCTTTTTTTCTCCCACAGAAATTGTCATTGATTTGTAGCCCAGACTGACTCATGTGGAAATGCATATGTGGAGATAAAAAATTAAAATGTAAGCTATGATTTTATGAATTTCATTTACATGATCAACCCTTGGAAACATGCCAAAAGAAATTCTGAACATTTGTAATCTTCTTACTGCTATCATTTTTGACATAAAACCATGTTTATATATGTTTCCATCTAACTAACTTTGATATTATGCTATTACTGTAAATAAGAGAAATATATCTATTTTGAAACCCAAAAGCTACTTCCTAGTCTATTTAGGAAAAAAAAAAAACAACAAGGCATTATTCTATGAGCAATAGAAGACATGATTTAACTATTTTTGAAAGTAATTTTATTTCAAAACCTGTACACTCTTAAAGGAAATACAGGATGGAGACTTGCTTATACTTTTGTAGGAGTAATGCTGGGGTTCATGTAGAAATAGGTGAAGTTGACTGACAGAGTATATAATTAATCCCATAAACTACTGAATATGCCATTAGAGATAAGTCATTTTGTAATGACAAAGTGCTTCTCCCTTAGTTCTATACACTTTATTTTGCCTTTTTTTTTTTTGAGATTAGCAGTCTGAATGAAACTAATGGAATTTTTTGTCTCTTTAAAATATTGTGACAAAGGAAAAATGAGTTATGTTCAAGATAGGTATACTTCTGTAGTGTATTAACCTGATTTAATTTTTATGGTTTGTAAAATAGTTCTGAAAAATATTTCTTTGTCTATGATAGGCATAAGCCTGTGACAAAACTGAATAAGCACAAAATCTTGCAGAGGCTCATCCCAACAAATCCCCCAGATTTGTTTCTGAATTAACCATATTTAGGGGGCATGCCTGCGTGGCTCAGTCGGTTAAGCACTGGACTCTTGATCTCTGCTCAAGTCTATCTCACAGTTGGTGAGTTCAAGACCCATGTCGGGCTCTGTGCTAAGGGAGGCTGCTTGGGGATTCTCTCTCTTTCCCTCTCCCTCTGCCACTCCCCCATTTGTGCTTGCTCTCGCTGTCTCTCTCTTCTCGAAATAAATAAATAAACATAAAAAATAAATAACCATATTTAGAATGTAGGATAGTATAATCAGATTATTTACTATGTTTGAAATGCAATTAATGCACACTAAAATAGAGTATCTACTCCATTGTCTCTGTTCCTCAATAGAATGTAAGCTCCCTGAGAGGAAGGACTCTTTTTTTCTGTTATGTTCACCGCTGCAGCCTTAATGCCATGAACAATTTTTAGAAAGAAGTGCTCAATAAATATTTCTTAAATAAACAAATGAATGAGCAAAAAGCTCATGTTTAGTCAACGTTGATGAAATGAATATATTCAGTTGCTATTGACAATAAATATGTGTTTAAAAATACATTTGTAACTTCAACCTATTAATCAATTTTGACATTATCTTTGGAACGTGGTATTGGAATATTATTTAGATGATAATTTTGTTTCCAGGGATAAGACAGTAATAGAGATAATAGTTTCTAGAATCAGACAGTCATCAGAGACTAGGTGTCAGTGTTCTTGGGTAAATTCTTACACTCAAGGAATTATAGATTCTTCATTTAGGCAATTCAGAACACAGGTGAAAAGGTTATTGTGATTAAATGAAGATGTATATTTTTTAACACTTTTGCTTAAATAATTGTCATTATTATACTATATATTATTACCTTCTTTTTTCATTCCTGCTCTAAAACACTTTCTTAATCGACAATATCTACATTGATTCCTTTTGTCCTTGTCAACAACACATTGCCGACTGAACCTATAACATCAAACAAAGAAAGATTAGCTTGCAACTATTTATTTATTCAAAAAACACACAAATAAACAGATAAATAAAACTTGAATAAGTATGGTCAAGTGTGGCCCAAAAGGAAGAATGTATAAGAACAATTACCTGCGACATTTCCAGTCAGTGATCAGCATGTGCATGGAAATGCCCATCAGCTGATGAACAGATCAATAAAATGTGGAAATAAAGGCCTCACCTCTCATGCAGTCTTTACAGTAAAATAAAACCGAATGATATCTCACTTCTCCCCAGTATACATTACCACTTCAATCATGAGTCATGAAAGCCAAATCTGGTTTAAAAATCTTTGACATGTGAATTCTAATTGCTTATTACTAAATGGTTTCAGTGTAATGGAGAATATATCAGGACTTCATTCCTCTGCTCCTTTCATGCTTTGCTCTCTTTAAATATTTTCCTATTAATTTTAAATGTGCCTCACATGCAATTGAAATTGCTCTAACTGCTCAGTTACATAACCAGAGGCACAGCATTGAGCGTAGTCTCTGTATAATTGGGTACTACCTCACACTCACTAAAATGGCTATAATCAGGGGGAAAAAAACGAAAAAACAGACAATAACAAGTGTTGATGAAGATGTGGGGAAAACTGGAGCCCTCATACTTCGCTTTTTTTTTTTTTAATACATTGCTTTTTGTAATATAAAATGATGGAGCTGTTTGGGAAGAAAGTTGGGTAGTTTTTTGAGAAAAGTTAAACGTTAGAGTTACTCTATGACCCAGCAATTACACTTCTGGGTATATACACAAAAGAATGAAAGCATATGTTCACACAAAAACTTGTACATAAATGTCCACACCACCATTATTCATAATAGCCAAAGTGCAGGGACAGACCAAATGCCCATCAGCCGATGAACAGATCAATAAAATGTGATACACAGACACGATACCTATTATTGTTTGGCAATAAACAGGAATGGAAGACTGATGTATGTTACAACACAGATGAACTTTGAAAACACTATGCTAAGAGAAAGAAGTCAGACACAAAGGCTACATATTATATCCAGGCATACCTGAGACAGACTACTGTTTCATACCACCACAATAAAGCAAGTATCATAATAAAGTGAGTCAAATGAAATTTCTTGCTTTCCCAGTGCATATAAGAGTTATGTTTACACTATACTGTAGTCTGTAAAGTGTGCCACAGCCTTGTCTAAAATAGCGATGTAGTACCTTAATTAACAATACTTTATTGCTGAGGCGCCTTGGTGGCTCAGTCGGTTAGGCGACTGACTCTTGATTTCAGCCAAGGTTGTGATCTCATGATCCGTGAGATTGAGCCCCGCATCAGGCTCTGCACTGACAGTGTGAAGCCTGCTTGGGACTCTCTCTTTCCCTCTCTCTCTGCCCTTCTCCCACTCGCACTCTCTCTTCCTCTCAAATAAATAAACCTAAAAAAAAATACTTTATTGATAAACACTGCTAAGCATTATCTGAACTTTGAATGAGTTGTAATCACTGATCACCATAACAAATGTAATAATCATGAAAAAGTTTGAAATATTGTGAAGAATTACCCAAATGCGACACACAGACACAAAGTTGGGAAAATGGTGCCAACAGACTTACTCAACACAGGGTTGCCACAAACCTTCCATTTGTAAAAAACACAATATCTGTGTAGCACAATACAGTGAGGTGTGTCTGTAATTTAATTTATATCAAATGTCCAGAAAAGGCAAATCTATACGAATAGAAAGTGGATTAGTAGTTGCCTATCATTGGAGAGGAGGGAGTTAGGGAAATGGGGGGGGGGGTGTGTGTGACTGCTGAAGGGTATATTGTCTCTTTGCATGGTGACAAAAAGTGTTCTAAGTTGGTTGAAGTGATGGTTACACAACTCTGGGAACATACTCAAAACTGTGTTGTACACTTGAAAAAAGAGAAAAATACAGTCTCTGGAATTAGATGTGAGCTTGATTCTCAGGTCCATCATTCACTCTCTTTTTTTTTCTTTATGTTTATTTATTTATTTTGAGAGAGAGACAGAGATAGTGAGTGGAAGAGGAACAGAGAAAGAGGGAGAGAGAATCCCAAGCAGGCTCTGTGCTGTCAGCATAGAGACCGACCCAGGGCTCGAACTCACAAACAGTGAGATCATGACCTGAGCTGAACCAAGAGTCGGACGCTCAACCGACTGAACCACCCATGTGCACCCACCATTCGCTCTTGGTAGGACTTGGGGATATTATTTAACATTCCCAAATTAATTTACAGTTGTCCAATAGGAAGGAGCTGCAGTAAAAAGTTGTTGTGAGAAGGTATTTTTAAGGCTTTGGGGCAAATATCAATCATATAGTAAGATAATAATGTTTTCTAATAATAACAAAATGATAAAATAATAACAAAATTCTATCATAAAATTGCCCACATGTATTGATATATTACTGATTATTTGTGGCTGATTATTAATGATGGGAATAAAAGAACTATTTTGTGATCAATAAAAGAAGATATTGCTTCTGAAAATGATGGGTAGCTACTTTAAACCGAATGAATATAAAGCCTACTATAAATGAATTGAGTCAGAAGAGAGATATTTTCAGAGTGAGAAGAAAAGAATTGTTAACTTGGGAATGCATGGCTGAGGAGGCTTCAGGAGAGGGAACTGGATTAGCAATAAATACAAGAGGAAAACACACCCAATTAACATTAGTGAAAAAATTGAATAAACATTTTTATTAAACACCTGTACAAGATTCTGGTGTAGAGAGTTTAAAAAAAGGAATATTACCTGTCTCCTCTATTCAGGGAAACTAGAGTCTAACAGAGTATACATACAAATTTGCAAACAGCCGTAATAAAACAAAACAAAAAATTAAAAAAAAAAAAAAAACCAAAACAACCATAATGTGAGAAGTATTGAAACAGTAATTTAAAGTGCTTTGGGAGGGGAGTGCCTGAATGGTTCAGTCGGTTAAGCATCTGATTCTTGATCTACCTCAAGTCTTGACCTCAGTGTTGTGAGTTCAAGCCCATATTGGGCTCCATGCTGGACGTGGAGCCTAATTAAAAAACAAAACAAAACAGGGGTGCCTGGGTGGCTCAGTCAGTTAAGCCTCTGACTTCGGCTCAGGTCATGATCTTGCAGTTTGTAAGCATGAGCCCCGCGTTGGGCTCTGTGCTGACAGCTCAGAGCCTGGATCCTGCTTCAGATTCTGTTTTTCTGTCTCTGCCCCTCCCTCGTTCACACACTCTCTCTCTCTCAAAATAAATAAACATTTATATACACACACACCCATATATATATACAAAACAAAACAAAAACAAAGTGCTTTGGGAGGGAAAGCCCAACTTTAATGTAAGGAAGAGTTAAGAGTGGAAATGAAATTTTCACATCTGAGGAAATGGATAAATTTGAGACCAGCAAAATCTGAGCTTAAGAAACCTTCATGGTCCTACACTTTCATCATTATAATAATAACTATTTTCCAAATGGAAAATCATAGCATTTGCTTAATGCCAAAATATGTAAAGAAGGCTAAGTTGGCAGCAATACTCATGTTGGGAAGGTGTGAGGAGTTAAACTCTATATGTGGTGGGAATATTTTTTTAAATTCCAAAAGTTGCTACGGGAACACTCCTTTCTCACTTTTCCCGTCCAATAAGGGAGGGAGTCTTGGAAGCCCGTGGTGCTGATGTTCTTTGATTCCTACAAGTCTGTTGGATCACACCATTTTTCATATGTACGTATTACACCTTTAACAGAACACATGACTCAAAATATATTGTAATTTTGATTACAATATGTGTAATTTTGTATTTATTTTAGCTGTTAATTTTGTAAAAGCACTCAATATTTAATGTAATCAGAGAAAAACATTTTAACGAAGGAAATTTACTTGGTCTACTTTTTACCTCTAGAGTTTTAAATATATAAAAGCAAGAGTCATCTAACTATGTATACATTTTTGTTTATCAAGAAGATTTTAAAGTAGGGTATTCACATTTTTGAAACCAACTTTAAGCCCTCCTGGAAAAATTACGGGAGGATACTAGTTGGCTATTCAGAGAGTTATTAACTTTTTCCAGATCCCTAGAAATCAGGTTGCACCATATTGTGAGAGAGTTAATTTTTTCCTAAAGGTCTAATTTTTCCTAAAGTAACATAGCTTTTCTATACAAGCTTTTCATCAACAGAGCAAGCATTGATATTTTTCTCTTACCATCAGCCATTCTTTAATAGTTCACATTTAAGAGACCTAATCTGCACTCAAGAACTGTCATTCTTGGGGTGCATGCATGGCTTAGTGGGTTAACCACGGCCGACGTCAGCCCAGGTCATGACCTCACAGTTTGTGAGTTTGAGCCCCACATTAGGCTCTGTGCTGACAGCTCAGAGCCTGGAGCTTGCTTCAGAGTCTGTGTCTCCCTTTCTCTCTCGCCACCCCTCCCCAGTTTGTGCTCCCTCTTTCTCTCTCAAGAATAAATAATAAACACTAAAAAAAAAAAGAACTGTCATTCGGAACACTCAAGGTGGAACATCTAACCCTAACTTGTACTATGATGTTAACTAGATATTATTTTTTTAAAGGCCTACTAGAAATATGTGACATACACAGTAGTTAAATATGTTTTAGACAAAACATTAAATTCAATGGCAAAATTGTGGCATGACAAATATATTTAAAATTTTGGGACTGAAAATTTAATTTCATTCACTGACATCAACAAACTACCAAAATCATCTGCACTTTTGTAATTTTGTTTTAAAAGACTCAGGCTGTGAGATGTTGAAAATAAAATTATTACGCAGAAAAATACACAGATTGGGAATCCATTTAAATATAGATTTAAATATGTCTATTGGTACGTGAACATGTGGTAAAACAATAAAGAAACACAAAGAAAAGCCAAACACCAAATTTCAGACAGTAGTCACCTCTGGGAGAGAGGAGAGAAAGAGAAAGTGATAGGGGAGGTGGGTTCACTAGATGCTTCAACTATATTGATCTAGGTTGGGTGGTAAGTATGTGGGTTTTTTTAATACATTTGTGTCTAAAATGTTTCATAAAAAAGATCCACGCTGTAGTAATGCATCCTGCATAGGCACCCACATATCCTCTTAATGAATTCTTAAAAAAAAATTTTTTTTTAATGTTTTGTTTATTTTGAGACAGAAAGAGAGAGAGACAGAGTAGGAGCAGGGGAGGGGCAGAGAGAGAGGGAGACGCAGAATCCGAAGCAGGCTCCAGGCTTCGAGCTGTCAGCACAGAGCCTGACACGGAGCTGGAACTCATGGACCACGAGATCATGACCTGAGCCGAAGTCGGACGCTTAACCAACTGAGTCACCCAGGCGCCCCAAGGATTCTTTTTTTTTTTTAAATGTTCATTTATTTTTGTGGGAGAGAGAGAGCATGGGAGCATGCACGTGCATGAATGGGGGAGGGGCAGAGAGAGGGAGACAGAGGATCTGAGGCTGGCTCTGTGCTGACAGCAGAGATCCCAATGCAGGGCTGGAATTCATGAACCATGAGATTATGACGGTGAAATCAAGAGTCAGGAGCTTAACAACTGAGCCACTCAGGTGCCCCCACATATTACTCTTAATGTAGCTTACAGATTTTGTTTGTAGAGTTACAGAAATATGAAAGGACTCATCTGCTTTCCTTACTTCTTGCACACCATTTTGAAACGCCTCTAAAGATAACTTTCTTAAAGGGAGCATCTCAAGTACCTGCAGGAATAAACGTGACTCTTGCGTATGCTGCGTCTGAAGAAGCCCTTGCACCCATCACAGCTTGATGCTCCATAATGCTTTCCTGTCGCTCTGTCCCCACATATAGCACATAGACAGTTGACACCATTGTCTGTGGTATTCATACTTGTTGTCTCTGGAGCAGAGCTCTCTGTTGAAGAAAAAGCAGAGTAGCCTTCAAGTTAATACTAAGTATTTCTTTGTTTAAATTACCCTACTAATGATTCACAGGCTCAAAATAGTCCATTCCTTGGCTTCTTGGAGTGCACCAGGGGTGTCCTTTTAACTGCTGACCCCTTCTGCCAGTCTCCATTCCAGTTTCCCTTCTCATATTTCTGAACATTAAGCTTTGGGATACCAGAGGTCTCAGTCCCCCCAAATATACTCTTTCCCAAGGAAAGCTCATCCAGTCACATGATGTCAAATATGTGTATGATGAAAAATCCCCAGATTTTATCTCTAGCCTTGATGCCTTCTGTGAGTATCAGTCTGAAATGCCCAAATACCTACTTAACAACTTCACTTTGAAGTTTAATAGGAATTGCAAATTAATGTATCAAAAAGAGAACTCTTTATTTTTCCCCTGAACTTGTTCTTTTTCAGTCTTCCTTATGTCAGTTAATGGTACCCAGTACTTGGGATCAATGACATGGTAGTCTTCATTGGATTCTCTCCTTCATTGTTCGTATCCAATCTAATAGTAAGTCCGTGTTTGGAACACATATCAAATCCACGACTTTTCGGCCTTTCACCAAGGCAAGTCGTAAGCGATCGACTATCATCCTTCACTTGGATTACTGCAATAATAGCCTCTTATCTAATTTTTCTATTTCCACCCTTGCTCCCTCCTCTACTGTTTATTACCCGAAAGTGCTCTTGGAATGAGAAATTTGCCTCCTATTAGCCTTCTGCACCCAACCCTCAGAAACAGAATAAAGTTTATACATCATGTAAAGCCCTGCATGGTAAAGCCCCCTCCTACCTCTCTGATCCCATTACTTGGTACTACTTTTCATCCTGTTCGCTGCTCTCCAACAATGTTGCCTTTTTTACTCCCTTGAAGTCTGTTCCCATCTCAGTCTTTACATTTGCTGTTCCTTCTGCCGCCCAGAAACGTTCTTCCCCAAGGATGTCTGTGAGCTGCTCCAATCTCACACTTTTCTGTGAAATAGTCTCTGAACACCCATCTAAAAGAGTTAGCTCTAATCTGCCCTTCAAGCAGAATCTAGAACCATGCTTATTTTTTTAAATAGCTGCTTCATTTTTTAAAACTATATTACGTATGGGTCTGTTCATTTATCGTCCCTCTTTAACTACAGAATATAAACTTCATGATGTTAGAGAATGCAGATCTGTTGTAGGCACACACCCCCGTCTTCCAGCTCTCAGAACTGTGTCTGGTGTAAAGTGAACATTTAATGCATAGTTTTGAAGGAAAAGACTTAAAAACCTCCACATAAGTGTTTTCATTTAAGTATTTCTTAAATAAACCAACATAAAATTGTATGAAAATATCAACATAGTAACAGCTCATTATATTTTGAATATAACAAAAGGTAAAATTAAAGGTTGTGACATCCGATTATATTCTGTGAAAATACATATATTCTACTTACTGATACTTTTGAGTAGAAAGACATTACCATATATAATTTCACCAAGTTAAGAAAAACCTCAATGGGAATAGGTTTAAGGGTTAATCATGTGACATTACAGAGTTTAAATCTAGGAACTTTTCTTTTGGTAACATAAATAAAAGAGACATTAGGAATATGGCAGCTAGAAGTATCAGGATTGATTATATTCTAGGAAGCTTTGGGAAGTAGGAAAAAATTCAACTCTTGTTTCCAGTTTAATGCTATACTTAATATATTGTTAACAACATTATTCTAAAATAAACAACATAGACAACACTTGGAAAAGTCAGTAGTGTTAAATATTTAGGGTAAACCTGCCCTTACTATTTAGTAATCTATAGTCTTTTAAAAAAAAACATGATTAATCTGACAAACCCATTATTAAATGTCTCTAATCAAATCTAAACATAAGGAAGAAAAATAGTGACTTCCTAAGATTTGAACCTAAGATTACATGTTCTTTTTAATTCTCTTTGTACTAAAATTTCAGAATTCCTTTTCTGGTGGTTTAAAAAAAAATTTCCCACTAATAAACTATTGTTTATTTAAATATAGCAAGAATAGCAGTTGTAAACTTGAGGAGCATAGCAGAACATTACCATATCCTGAGTACAAGATACATTCTCAATCCTGAAGTACACACACACACACACACACACACACACACACACACACACCCCTTTCAAAGTATACATAATCACCGGATTTTAGTAGTTCTAACAATTACAGCTAATCTTGGACAAGACTCTTACTTGAGTTAAAGTCTAAATACAAAGTCAACAGTAAACTGTTGTATTTATTATTCAAATCCGCGAACTCTAGACAATTCATGCCTTCTTTAAAGTTAAAATGTTACAGTAGATAAATACCAAGGGCTCTGTGAGGCTAAACATTAGCCTGTCAAGTAGTAAGGTTATAATATAAGCCTTTATTTCCTTTCATATTGTGTTCTGTGTTAAAACTTGATAGTCATTTTAAATGTAGTTTCTCATCAGTAGTCACTGAGAACTGAAATGACAGGGGGAGGCAGCCAGTAAAGCCTCCCGCCTTCCGTATGTCATTTTAAATACTGCATAGAAAATGTACTTCACAGCCAATCTGCCAATATTACCTACTGCTGTGATTTACAGTAAATAAAGTAATGCTGAAACTGTTCTTTTTACTCTGACAGGCCCATGACAGAATTCTGAGGTCACTTTATTACACATAGCTTGACTCTTTAAAAGCCTCCACATAAAATAGCCATAGCATTCTTAATTTAAATTTTGTGATGAAATGCAAAAGCTCAGATCTGTGGTCTTAAAAAACAAGCTCCGAATTCTTCAGCAATAAAACTCAGAGCTACCTCCTGAGCGGTAGCTCACTTTTAACCCTCCTGTTATACCTACTTTTCTCTATATCTACAAGCAGATGAGAACTCACCGTTTGAATTATATAGAATCTGCATAGTTTCAAACTCCAAGGTTGTATACGTTGGGTCCAAAACTTCACTGTAATTTGCCATATCCATGTCCAGTATTGGTTCCGATACCCTCATCATTGACTTAGGAACACACATACAAGTGGCGCCACAGGCCAGCGTGTGTGATGGCTGTTGGGCTTTCAATCTGTGAGTGATAATCCAAAGTTAACTGTAACTGAGTGACTTATGCGCTGCCGTGGGAGGAGCTGTAAAACTGTAAACTCCTCAGCAGGCCATATTCTGCTCATTTCTTTCTCTTTTATGGCACACGAAAGCAATTCCTTGTGATAATCTTGGAATGCTTCGTGGAATCACCTTATCTGAAGTGCTTAGTGGACTAACATGATTTCCTAAATTGATTCCCAGTAGACAATAAATGATGTCATTAAGTAGTTAAAAATAGAAAAGAGAATCTCTCAGTCTTCAACAATTTATAACAGGATTTATCCCAGGTAAGGGGCTGAAATCACATACCACGGATTCTAAAAGATGGGACTTTACTGTGTCAAGACTATAAGTTAACACTTAACATAAGCTCTTAATTTCAAATTTTTTTACTGTACAATAGAGCTAACTGTGTTTATGTTGTAATTTGAAGTGACAGGGATTTATGATATGCTCAGTAGCAGCCTGGGCATTACCCTAATATGGTTTAACATATCCTCCTTAACTATCTACTTATGAATCTGTGTCCTTTGAATGTTTGTAAACTGCCCAAGGACAGCACTAGTAAAGTTGCTAGTATATTGTGGGCATTCTGTGACTAAGAGCTACATGATTAAGGTATCATTTCTTCTGACTTCTGACAGCTATTACATTCTAAGCCTTACACGGAAATAAACCTATCCTTAACATGTGCGTCTACACATTCCCATCATCCACCTTCTAATATCTAGCATCCACATGGCACACTATAACTTTTGCAAGCACATGTGACAAGGAGCATTTAGAATTCAGGGAACATTTAGAAGATCCTAGCCAATGATTATATTTTACTTCTGAGAATACGTCTATTGATTTTATCTTCCAAGAAAGAATTCCAGCCACATTTACATTATAAACACAGAATCTCATTTCCTACATTTGTTAAAGATTCCTGCAAAGTAGTATTTCTTATTCAATTTCTTAATACAATAAACCTTGTGAATATTGCATCTTAAAAATTATTATCTTTTCCTCTGGGAAGGCTGGCCTCTTAAACTCGAAACTATGTGAAGCATTTGTTGATGAAAACAACAGAGTCACGTTAGCAACCAAATTCATTAAATCGAACAGCAATCACTGGAATTGTCTACTTGCCTTCATATTCTGTAGCACTCTTAATTGTGAGGATGATATCTGAGGGATACATTTAAGTGACTGAGTCTCTTTAGTAAGAGCTATTGGTAGTTATTCAGTTTTTGGAGAAGTGGACAGCAAGCGAATCCCGTGGTTTTCATTCTCATGAGGCAGTTCCCACTTGTGGTGAAGTAACACAGACATGTTTTCTGTCTCAACCAAAGCAGTGAACTGTGCATAGCCCACCATCTTTCCCATCTATGTAGTAACTAAACAACGATGAGGAATGTCACCCATGAAAGTGTACCGACAGAAGGAAAAGAAGAAAAGAAAAAGGGAGAGAGTTATTCATATATAAGATTCAAATCACTAAAAGAAATGTGACTACAGCTCAGGAAAACAATACTATCATAATTTATTGTTCTACTCCATCTTGTGCCTAGGGGTGCCGTCGCTATTGGATCAGTGCTATTTCCTCAAAGGGGAAAGGAGCTACACATTCATCTCAGCACAGATCCTCAAGTAGTCACTAGCAATTAATCAGAGCTAGCTTTCAAGATGAAACCTGTTTCTCATCCATGTTATTGTAAATCATTTTCTTCATTTTATAGAGTAAAAACTTGAGAATTTCCAGAAAATATAGCAGATTCAAATAGCAAGCATATCTCCTCAAATGGGCAGTTTGTCTTCCTAATGATATTCAGATGTGGAAACACCCACAGAGTCCAGTCAGCCTCAGTCTAGTAAAGGACAGACTCTCTTTAGGTTTTTTTT